CGCGATAAAAGAATGCAAAAATAGACTTGGAATATTATCGATCGCGATAAATCTCGTAAAAGAATGAAAACGAATAATCATAAATGAGAATTTCCGAACCCTGGCTGCAGGTGGTCACCTAATCTCAGAAGACTTAGCTAGATATTTGCTTTCGTTGATGAGAATGCAAACCTTTTGTACGGTTGTTAGTAACTTATTCTGATACAAACATCTGATTGTAATCGGCATGCGTGACAAACTTTTTTGGACTTCCTGCTTTGATCCTGCCTTAGCAAGGATCATGTAAGATGCTTTTGGCAGCGTTTTGTTGTGATACGCGTAGCTAAGCCCTGTTACACCCAATAATCTGGGTTGATTTATTCGTAAATTATGGAAATTTTATTCAAATGAAAAGGAATAAGACTACCATTTGCTTCGGTATCTGCTTTGTTTGATAGAGGCACACGAATGAGATTTTTACTAATTGGAAGAAATAAAGTACACCGGAGATAAGCCCTTTCCGAACTATTAATGGTGCTGCCGTATGCACGAGATTATTGATAAAGTGTTTAATCTTCCGTAGAATTACGAAATTACTCCCTTGTTTAAGGTCGAAGGAATTCTTTATAACACAAAACTAAAAGGGTCCGAAGTAATTGCCACAAGTGGTGAAGAAGAGGAAGACTATGCGATTTGTCAAAAGAGCAGCGGATTACTTGTTCGATAGAAAGATATAGACTTGTATAATTATGTACATAAATCCTGCTAGGCATTTGTTTCGATAAATGCTTTCAAAAATATTAATTACCCGTTCCAACAAATATTAAATAATTATTATTTAAACTCACATGTGTATTGAAGGCATGTCCCAGTAATTCAGCCAACTGCTTGGCATACTGCTCCGATTTTCCAGTCTCAGTTGCATAGAGCACCGTAGCCTTAATACGTTTAGACAAAGTGCGCACATAGAGGATAGATGTGAAAATCACAGCTCTGAAAAAGTAAAATGGGATTTAAATATTATCAAATGTTCTCTCGAAATTGAAAGGGAACACAAAATTAGGTAAAAAATATTTACTACAGAGATCTCGTTAATTAATTATAAAAAGTATCAAGTAAGTAATTTTAAAAAAGTATTTAAACATTTAATCCTATTATTTCTTGGCCGTTGGGTATAAACAATATTGTATGTGTGTTTTTTGAGCTCAAGGCCACATGAAAATCAATCTTTAAGAAAAAAGAAAAATCGACGGCGCAACACCTAACGGCAAAATTTTGCCGCCACCTAATTCATCTTTCCTATTGGATTGTCATCGGATTCTGGGCTAAGTTTCAAGTCTCTAGTTCATGGGAAAGTTGTTTAAAAATTGATTGCATAATCTGATTATACACAGGTGAAATTTAATAAAACCTTATAAAAAAGAAATTTATTTATTTTTTAATTCCCGTACAATATGTATGTGGGTATGCCCGACCTCCTTTTATGTTAGTGTTTGTCCGAGCTTTTCCTGCGATTTGTGGTGAGCGCCTTGATGTTGTCACACAAAGGGGAGGGACCTATAGTTTTACGGCGACTACGTACGAAGCTGTTTAAAGCACTCAAATTCTACAACACTGCTATTCATACATAGCGCTTTCCTTTTTGCAATTTCGTATAAATTAATTAAGTATATTACACTGAATTTATTGAATTTTTTTCTTAAGCGTTAAAAATTTAATTTCATGTTTTCCTTAATTAAAAACCATTCATACTTATAAGTGCATCCTGCATGCGTATTAAATGATATTTTGATTTCATTTTATGTAAGAGATTATTGCCACATTCGTATACATTTTGGCAATAAGAATTGAAAATATAAAATTTCTGACAATTTTAAAACAGAATTACAGGAAATTGACACATTCACCTTTGCATGCAAGTATATTTACGAACATATGTATGTACCTATAAAAGGATAATTTCAGCAAGTAATTTGTATGTATGATGTATGTGTATATGCAGCACGCATTTCCATACACATTTCCATATCGGATGTCTGACTTCATGTGCACAGCTTAGTAATCCACTTAAGGGATAATCTGCTTATAAATGTGGCAAACGGACAGTAATACGAAAAAAAAAACAAAACACCCACTACCTACACAAATAATATACATATATAAGTATACCTTTACAATTTGTGCTAATGTATGCATCGAAACCCATCTGCTAAAAACTAGTCGTATTTTAAAAACAATAGAGTTGTAGCATATTTTTTTTGCTTAAAACGAAGTCCAATCCAACAGAAGCTGATGTGCGCTCTGCATGTCGCTTTTGACTTTTTGTTATTTTTATACCCGAGCGCACTTGTGCACAAGGGTATATTAATTTTGTTCACATAACGGTTGTTTGTAACAGCCAAAACGAATCGAGATAGATATAGACAAATGTATACATAAATGATCAGGATGAAAAAAGAAATCGATTAAGCCATGTCTGTCTGTCCGTCCGTCTGTCCGTCTGTCCGTGTACACGATAACTCGAGCAAAAATTGAGATATCTCAACGAAATTTGGTATGTAGGTTTCCCTTAATCCAAGGTAGGTTGGTATTGAAAATGGGCGAAATCGGACTTTAACCACGCCCACTTCCCATATAACGGTAATTTCCAGAAATACGAAAACTGCGATATTTTAGTAACTACTGAAGATAATTCACTCAAAATTGATATTTACAATAATTTTTAGACGAAAAATAAGAATATTATAAATTTTTGGAAAATGGGCGTAGCCACGCCCACTTATTACATGTGTATATCTTGGTAACCGCTGCACCAATTTCTTCCAAACTTGGCACAGTTGTTGGCCTTCGCATAACATACCAAATGTCCGAAAATTTTTAAAATCGCTCAATAACCACGCCTACTTCCCATATAACGGTAATTTTCAGAAATACGAAAACTGCGATATTTTAGTAACTACTGAAGATTATTCAC